CAAAAAAATATTTTTTTCTAATTTTTTTCTTAAATTTTGTACAAAAACAAACAAATTTTCCCTTGGACACTTTTTTGTAAAAAAAAAATTATGAATTTTTTTTCAAAATTTACTATTTAATGCTTTTTTAAATTTTATGTCAGCATGTATAAAGTATAGAAAATTTGTCCTAGGGGAGCCGTGTTTATAAAAATCAGTTCATATTACGTTAAAATACATCGCTGTTAAAATTAGAATCGACAATTAAATCGCTTATAACAATTTAAAAAAATTTTTTCCAGAAAAGTGCAAAAAATGAACTAATAAAAAATTTTTAAAAATTAAGATTTTGCTCTAAAATTACTAAATTGCGATTATCTTGAAAACTAGAACCGACAATATGGGCCCTTTTCATGTGGGCGTCCACATAATTATATACATGTACTTGCGTAAAATCTATTCCTGGTATTTTTTCTAAATTTATGTTTTGGGTAGAAATATATTCTTGATCTTTTTATTTTAGCTGAATCCTTAAATTGTATGTGGGACATTCCAGGCCAAATCGGAAATTATTATTAGTGTTAGTTTCTTACAAAAAATTTTGAGAAAAATTAACCGATACACACATTGTTAAAAATGAAATTTTATTTTAAAAATTTTAAAATTTTATCGTAAATTATTTACAAATATTTTTATTGCAAATTACGCGTGTTTTTAAATTGTTATAAGCGATTTAATTGTCGATTCTAATTTTAACAGCGATGTATTTTAACTTAAAATACATCGCTGTTAAAATTAGAATCGACAATTAAATCGCTTATAACAATTTAAAAACACGCGTAATTTGCAATAAAAATATTTGTAAATAATTTACGATAAAATTTTAAAATTTTTAAAATAAAATTTCATTTTTAACAATGTGTGTATCGGTTAATTTTTCTCAAAATTTTTTGTAAGAAACTAACACTAATAATAATTTCCGATTTGGCCTGGAATGTCCCACATACAATTTAAGGATTCAGCTAAAATAAAAAGATCAAGAATATATTTCTACCCAAAACATAAATTTAGAAAAAATACCAGGAATAGATTTTACGCAAGTACATGTATATAATTATGTGGACGCCCACATGAAAAGGGCCCATATTGTCGGTTCTAGTTTTCAAGATAATCGCAATTTAGTAATTTTAGAGCAAAATCTTAATTTTTAAAAATTTTTTATTAGTTCATTTTTTGCACTTTTCTGGAAAAAATTTTTTTAAATTGTTATAAGCGATTTAATTGTCGATTCTAATTTTAACAGCGATGTATTTTAACGTAATATGAACTGATTTTTATAAACACGGCTCCCCTAGGACAAATTTTCTATACTTTATACATGCTGACATAAAATTTAAAAAAGCATTAAATAGTAAATTTTGAAAAAAATTCATAATTTTTTTTTTACAAAAAAGTGTCCAAGGGAAAATTTGTTTGTTTTTGTACAAAATTTAAGAAAAAAATTAGAAAAAAATATTTTTTTGAAAATTGTAAAAAATACAAAATTTTGAAAATTTCATCGGGGGTGAATTTCGTTTCATCAGGGGGTCATGAAAAATGAAGATTTATCAAAATTAGAAATTTCTCAACATCGCACAAATCCAAGACTTTCTCATTTTTTATGAGAATGTAAAAATACAATAAATGTAATTTTCCGAAATTTTTTATTAATTACAAATTAATAAATTGTACCTTAAAAGAAAATATTTAGCAATTTTAATTTTCAATCATTTTAAAAAATTATTTTAATAAATATATCAAAATTGAAAAAATAAAAAATTTATCAAAATCTTTTTTTTTAAATTTGACATGTTTATATTATGTACATTTCTCATAAATAAGAATCCCTTTATTTATGTTTCTTATATTTAACTTTCATTATTGCAAAATATCGTTTAAATTACTTGACAAATTGAATTACTAATTCCTAGTTTTTTGATGTTGTTAGTCTTTTACGTATAGGCAACCTTCACAAAATTTCTGGACACTTTCTTCCACAAGTCACATTCAGCTCTCAATTTTTATGGTGGAAATAAGATTGTGGCTTATAAAAACATCATATCGAAACAAAATAAATTTTAATTAGGTAATTCTTTATTTATTTTCGCTTTACGGTAAAGAGCTCTTTTTTTGAGAAAGTGTCAAATTATTTTTTAAAAATTGACAAAGTAAAAAGTTTCATAAAAATCAGTCGAAAGTGTTGGATAATTTAAAAAGAAAGAATAAAAGCAGATACTTATAGAGAAAAGGGCTCTTTATTAAAATTCTATATATGAAATAAGGATTTAAGTAAAAATCTGTTTGTAATAATATACGATGTTTCTACGAGCGTCAATATTATTTTCACTATAGCCAGGGCTGCAATAATTTAAATCAACTTGATTTAAATCATGATTTTAATCTTGATTTAAATCTTGTCATTAAAATCATGATTTAAATCAAACTGCAAAATGCATTAGAAACAGAAAAGTTTGCAAAATTAGTATTTTGGTTTAAAGTTTTGAATTCATAAAAATAAAAAAGAATACATTACAGAGATAATAAAGTAAACATAATAATTATTAGTTTTGTTTATTTGACTCAAATTACAGAATAACTGGAAATCAGAGAATTTTTTTGTTCAGGGAAAAGTCAGGGAATTTAAATCGAAAAAAACCACAAATTAAAAAACTTTGATAAAAGTCAATTTAGTTTTTGTATAATATTTGATAAACGGGCATTGGCGGTTTATATTTAAATAAATAAATATAACTTTTTGAGCACGATTTAAATTGTAAATTTTCATTAACTTTTTTTCATAATAAAAGTTTTAAACACATTAAAATTTTTTTTTAACAAACAATTTTGAATTATCTTATGTTTTTCTTTCTAAATAAAATTGTTACTTAAAAAGCATTATAAAATTTTTAATTATCAATGCAGAATATTAAATAATTAAAAAATTTATTAATCAGGGAAACCGAAAAATTAGTCAGGAAATGTCAGAGAATTCTTAAAATAAAATTTTCCATCCACCCTATTATTATTAATTTTATAATTTTTAATATTAAAAAACAAACTACTTATAAAATAATTAAATATTTAAAATATTTAAAAAAATGATTTAAATAAAAAAAATGAATTTTTTAAAAAAGTCATGATTTTTATCAGCCCTGCACTATACAAATAATTGACAGCTTTGATGTCGGAAATAAACTTATATGACCTGGTCGCCTATAGAAAGGGATTTTAAAATAGTAGAATAAGTAATTATTGTTTTATAATAGAAAATTTATTAGCTCCAAATTTCTTTTAATATCTCATATAATTGAGGAATAAAAAAACATAATTAAATTAATTATTTTGATACAAAGGAATAAAATAAATAAATTTTTATAGACAAGAAAACATGATTAAAGATAATTTAACAAATATATAAGGTAAAAATTAATACTTTTTTATGATTTTGTAATTAATAATTAATTTTTGATTTTATATAATTTTCCAATTACTAATTAACTAATTTTCCAAAATAATACAAAAATATTGAATAAATTTTAGAAATAATTTAATTTTTTCAAAATTCTGTATATTTGTCATTTTTAATATTTTTATTAATTATACAATTTATTAAATTGTACCTCTAGAGGTACTAATTAGCAATTTTAATTTTTAATCATTTTAAAAAATTATTTTCATGAATAACAAAATTAAAAAATTTTTTTTTTCATATTTTTCGTTTTAATTTAACATATTTTATATTATGTATATTTTTATAAACAAAAATCCCTTTATTTATATTCATTCTATTAGTTTTTATTACTGCAAAATATTATTTTTATAATTTTCAACAAAATAAAACTTACTGCCCTGTTTTATGATACTGTTATGCCTTTACGTAGGCAACCCCGCCTTACTCCACCTTTCGGTGCGGACATTTTTTTCTCAAATCAAGTCATCTACATCAGTAAATTGTCATCGTAATAACCATATTGTGGCTCGTAGAAACATCGTATCGAGACAAAGTAAATTTTTACTAATTCTTTATTTAATTTCATTTTAAGGTAAAGAGCCCTTTTTTTGAGAAAGTGTCAAATTATTTTATAAAAAATTGTCAAAGTAAAAAGTTTTGTATGAAGCAGTTGAAAGTGTTGGATAATTTAAATGGAAAGAGAAAAAGCAGAAACTTATAAAAAAAGGAGGCTTTTTATTGTGATTATATATGAAATAACGATTTAAGAAAAAATTTGTTTTTAATAATACGATTTTTCAACGAGCGTCAATATTGTTTTCGCTATACAAATTGACAGTTTCAACATAAAAAATAAACTTATAAATTGGTCGCCTATTGAAAGGGGCTTCAAAATAGTAGAATAAGTAATTATTGTTTTAGAATAGAAAATTTATTAGCGATAAATTTCTTTTATTATCTTATATAATTGAGGAATAAAAAAACATAATTACATTAATTATTTTTATACAAAGGATTAAAATAAATAAATTTTTATAGACTAGAAAACATGATTACTAATAATGTAACCAATATATAAGGAAAAAAATAATACGTATATTTTTACGGTTTTTTAATTAATAAATAATTTTTTATTTTTTATAATTTTCCAATTACTAATTAATTAATTTTTACATATAATAATACAAAAAAAATTCAATTTTTAGGTATAAATAATTTAATTTTTCAAAATTCTGTATATTTGTCATTTTTATTATTTTCATTAATTACAATTCAATAAATTGTACCTCTAGGGGTACTAATTAGCAATTTTTATTTTTAATCTCTTTAAAAAATTATTTTAATGAATAACAAAATTTAAAAAAAATGTTTTTCATATTTTTCGTTTTAATTCAACATATTTTATATTATGTATATTATTATAAACAAAACCCCATTTATTTATATTAATTATATTAGTTTTTATTACTGCAAAATGTTATTTTTATAATTTTCAACAAAATAAAACTTACTGCCCTGTATTATGATACTGTTATGCCTTTACGTAGGCAACCCCGCTTTACTCCACCTTCTGTTGTGCGGCCATTTTTTCCCCATATCAAGCCAACTACATCTGTAAATTGTCATCGTAATAACCATATTGTGGCTAGTAGAAACATCGTATCGAGACAAAGTAAATTTTTACTAATTCTTTATTTAATTTTATTTTAAGGTAAAGAGCCCTTTTTTTGATTAAGTTCTTTGTTTTTTTTTAAAAAGTGATCAAAGTGGAAAATTACACGAAACATACTGGACAGTGGGGGAGAGTGGGTTGGCAACACTTGACAGTTCCCGACCTCCAACGCCGTTAAAGAGCCTAAAAATATTGAAATTAGATTTAAAATTCTATTGGAATTTCGTAAAAATTTGACCTGGAAATCATGGAAAAGGTATGGAATTTTAAATTCGGATTTCTGTAGGAATCCTGAATAAGAGTAATTGACATTTAATATTTTTGTTCATCACGTTCATTCCTACTGTACTACGCAAACGGTGCAACCTGATATAGTCGGCCATGACTATAGTCATGGCCGTATAGTCTCCACCCTTTGGTAAAAAATCTAAAATTATAGAAAATTATCAAAAATTCAAAAATAAACATAAAACATGAAAATATAATAGCTTTTTTGTCGATATTTTACATTCGAAAGTTTCATTTACATAATGAAATGCAATTGTTAATAATACTTAAATGAGATCTTTCATAAGAATTTGTTTTTTAATAACAGGCTCATAATTTTGAGAAGTTAAATTGACACCTTCTTTCTCCTTATTATTTTTTAAAAAACTATCAATAACTTTTTATCAGCCATCTAATTTTTAAAAATGAAACGTAAACATTTTTTAGTAATTTACTAATAACAACTATCAAAATGGAAAAAATGGATTGTTTTAGTCATATAAATTTTTTTAATTTTAGAATCCACATAGCCATAATTTTGTACAATAATAAATTATGAGCAATTTAATTCCAATAAAAAAAATTATAATTTTTTTTCTAGATAGATCTTAAATCTTTATAAATGATTTTTTTATTATTGAACAACCGACTTAAAACACTGTATTATTGAAAATACAATTTTTTTTTTTAAATTTGACATAAAGTTTGTAAACATAATATAATAAATAATCACGTTAAACAAATATTATTTTGGATTTTTAATCAAACAATTTATATAACCAAAAGAATTAAGTTTTCATTCTTAATTGATTTTTTCTATACTTGATGGAACTTTTATAAAGTCAAAAAAGGTATTACTATTAAATTATATAGTTAAAAAATTTAGTTTTGAATTTTTTTAAGAAGCTTAAAGAATAATAAAATTAGATACGAAAAATTCGAAACGTTAAAAAGTTGTAATTTAATAAACATCCACTATTAGTAATTATTATAATATATTATAATCACGCGTCCAATAATAAATTTAATTCACTTGGCGGGTTTTTTGAAATCTACGAAATTCACCAAAAAAACTAAAATTCTTGAATTCTGTAAATTTTTTTTACCTTTTTTGGAAAAAAGTAGCATTTAGTAACTTTTTGACAAAATAAGTAGCAAAAAGTAGGCTTGACCAAAAAAAGTGGAAAAGTGTGTCACTTCGAAGCCTGGCTTCATTATTTTTGGGCTCTTGGAAAAAACTTTACTTATTTAATAGTCGCGACCGTCTCGACCCACACAGCACCGAAAATTCCCTGAACCTCGATTGAACCTTGCGCGGAGAGGTTCGGAAACTTCAGTAGCGAGATTCATACAAGTTTGTGTGGATGTTCAAATGTCCACATATATACAAGGTTTATCGCAGACATTGACTGAATATTGCATATCAATTTTCGTGAGATATTAATCGCAAATATTATTGCAAATTATTTCGAAAGATTTCAGGAAATTTAAAAGCGAAATTCGTTAAATATAATAATTAAATATTCTGTAAATTTAAAAAAGAGCGTAAATGTGAAAATTTTTAAAAAATTAAGTAAATTACAAAAAATATTAAAAATTGTACATAATCAGACACAGGGAGAAGTAAATAAAACATAAATTATAGAATTATAGATATATTTATATTTATTTTACTGGTAATTTCTTATTTTTGTAAAATTAGTACATATTTTAATTTAAAAAGTACACCTAATTATAGAAATAAAATTTTACGTATAATAATAGGAATATAGTTGAACAGCTCTACTACGATTTATACTAAAAAATTACGTTACATGACAATTAATTTTAATAAATAAATAAAATTTGTAATTGAAAAAATAGGTTAAATAAAATTCTAATTTGATAGTCCGCAGACACCATTTATATAGTAAAAAGAAATAAAACTTCTTCATTATAATGTATAAAATATTTGATGAATATTCAATTTGTTGAAGTCACAGGTATTGTCCACGTTATCTTTATACGTATTGGCTGCAGGCAATTTTTCACAAACATCTATTTTGATTCATCAAATTGATTCTCGTTGTAATCTGTGGTCCATGTTGCTCAGTTTCCATCAAGTATCTACCGAATTCAAAATTTCTATTAAAAAAATATTCTAGGTATTATATTAGAGAGTAAATAAGTAATTTCATTTTAATTTTTGTAACTTCGATATTTCCCCCACTATATAGATTTTAGTTTCTTTTCTCTTTTAAATAAACGCCACATAATACCAATGAAGAAAACTGCAAAATGTGATTTTCATTGAAGTGACCTAAAAGGAACTTCGAACTATCGATTTTATAGACATTTAAAAACATATAGTTAAATAACTTTGTAGAAAGTCATGATCACTTTTTATTTAATTTAAATGTAAATAGAAGAAACAAAAATAACCTTTTAAAACTCAATTGTTTGCATATTTTTTGATATTTTATGTTTATTCCGCAGAAAAGAAAAATTTAAATAGGTTGTTGATTTTGACAAAAGTTGTTCAAGAGGTCGAACTGTCACTAAAAACCAAATGTCTGTTAAAAAAATGAATGCCGGTCAAAGTAAAATCAAATTACATAAATTTACCTCTAGAAAAAGTAAAAATATTAACAAACTAAGAAATAATCAGAGTTGCCACAAATATTTAATTTTATTTTTCCCTGACTTTTCCCTGATTTCCAGACAAATTTTTCACTTTTTCCCTGACCCTAAAGAATATTCTGATTCACTCTAAAAATTATTAGATACTCAAAAAAGTTCTATTACATTTATTTACAAATTTCTTCAAAAGTAAAATTATTCCATAACATTAATAACTTCTTATTTAAATAAACATTTAATCATTATTATTTTTCCGTAGGAATTAAAATTCTTCAAAACATTCAAATTTAAACCTTTCTGAAATTCAACAACGTATAAGAATATTATTACAAAACACTATAAAATTTTTCAAAAAAAAATTAATTATGTACAAAAATCCTTCGCAAGAATTGATTTATTTTAAAAAATAGTTAAATTTCTCAAAAAATTCAATTATTTGAAAAAAATGTAAAAAAATTCGTTGCAAGAATTCAATTATTTTCATAAATAATAAATCAATTATTTGGTAATTCATTTTTAAATAAATTTTTATTTAAAAATTCTAGAAGAAAACAATTATTTAAATTAAAAAATAAATAATTTAATGTTTGTTGAAATTGAATTCTCTTAAGGAATTTTATCATCAAATTTTTAAATAATTGAATTCTTTAAAAATTTTAATAAAATTTTGTAAGAATAATTACATTTTTCGAGGAATTCGATTAAAATATTGTATCAAAAATAATAAAAATCCTGCGAAGAGTTTTATTATGTATGAAAATAATTAAAATTTTCCCAAGAATTTTATTAAAATTTTTCTAAAATAATTGTATTTCGGAGCAGAATTTTATTATTTATAAAGATACTTTAAATTTTGATAATTTTTTTTTTAATTTTTAAACATAATTGAATTTCTGCAAAAAATTTTATTACTTTTGAAAATAATTAAATTTGAATTATATTCAAGTTTATAAAAATAACGGAATTTTTGTAAAGAATTTTATTATTTTTAAAATTTTTATAAATAATTGAATTCTTGCAACGAATTTAATTCAAGTTTATAAAAATAATTGAATTCATGAAAAGAACTTTGTTAAATTTTTTTAAATAATTGAATTCTTGTGATGAATTTTATAAAAATCTTTTTAAATAATTCATATTTATCGAAAAATTTAATGAAATTTTGTATTTTAAATAATTGAATTTCTGGGAAAATTTGATTACTTATGAAAATAATTGAATTATTTCGAAGAAATTTATTAAAAATTGAATAATTTATTTCCTGTGAAATTTTTCTAAAAGTTTTATTAAAATTTTGTAATAAAAATATTTGAATTTTCTTGAAGAATTTTATTGTTTATAAAGATAATTGAAATTTTGAGAATTTTTTTTAAATTTCTGAACATAATTAAATTTTCGCCAAGAATTTTTATAATTTTTGAAAATAATTGAATTTCGGGAATCATTTGTAACTTTTCCAAAATTTAATTTTTAAAAATTTTTTTAACTAAAATTCCTCTAACAATCTAGTATTTATAAAAATTGTAAAAATTATTCATTAAATAATTTCTAAGTAACAATTTTATGATAGTTCCTGAAAAATTAAGTTATTTAAAAAGAAATTATTGACAGAAATAGAAAAAATTAAAGGTTTTGTATTAAAATTTGCAGTAATTTCATAGTTTACGAGGGAAACAAAAAGAACATCAAAATTCAAAATTTTCTTATGAATTTTAAAAATTTAACTTTTTCCAGTACTTTAATAAAAATCCCTGACTTTTCCCTCAATTCCCTGACCTGTAGCTACCCTGATAATGCAATCAAGTTAATTACTCGATAACTAATGTTAAAAAACAGTTAAAAGTATCTTTAAGACTGAAATTCAATTTTTTTGTAGTTAAAATTTTTAGAAAAAAATATTTAAAACTTTAATAACAAATTTTGTTAACCTTTTTAAAAATAATTAAATTCTATTAAAAATTCCATTTAAATTATATTGCAAAAAATAGAATTTCTCCAAAAACTTTTGTTAGAGTTTTAAAAAGTAATTTAAATTTTCCCAAAGAATTTTACTTAAATTTTTCAGAATAATTTTTTTTATTAAAACTATTTAAATTTAAAACGTTTGCATAATTGTTATAGTTTTGATTAAATGTGATGTAAAGTTTTTTTTAAATAAAAAATTGTAAAATGAAAATGAATGAAAAGAATGGCACATGAGCAAAATGGATAACGAATTTAAAGAAAGTAACTACCTGTATTAAACGTAGAGTTTGCAATCTTTCGAGAAATTTATTTTTGGAATTCATCCAGAATTTTTCTTTGGTACAGCCACAAAATTTAAAAATCCTGTCTGAAGTAATTGCAGCTCTTCTAAAACTTGGGTCAAAACGTAGAGATTGCAATCAAAGTTGACTCCAAAAAATGATTTTTATTATAAACTGCTTCCTTCCTTTCGAGAAAATTATGCTTTGATATTCGTCTTACTTTTTTTATAAGGCCATAAAATTAAAAAAATCCTCTCTAATAATTTGTATCTCTTCTAAAACGTATCGAAAGAAATAATCGAAGAATTGGTGTAAATTGTCATCTCGGAAAACAGGTAGTGAGCGCGTGAGTCACTCTTGACACCTCAAACTGAAAAATAGTAATTTATTATTAAATACATTAAGTGTCAATGAAATTCATTGAAAATTTTAATTTTCCATGATTAGCATTTTGAATACTGATGATTAAAATTTTCTTTATAACATTATTAACTTCTTAAAAATTGTGCGAAAAATAATTATTGTAATTTTTATGCTTTTTTATTATAATTTAAAATCCTTAATAATATCGACAAATTAAGTGATTTGAAACAATCTGAGAATCGAAAATTTAATGGTTTATTCAATTTAAGAGAGAAGTCTTCAAATTAAATTTTGAATAAATTAAATAATTAAATAAATAATAGATAACAAAATAAAGTAGAAAATTATTTTAAAAAATATGTTTCAAATCAATACATTCTTCTAATAACTGTTATTATAGTATTAAATTTAAGACAGAATCGAAAATAACTTACTGCTTTCAAAATGTGTACTGGAACGGAAATATTTGGAAAAACCTCGATTTTCTGCACTTTTCTCTCAAGGTTTATGTGCCAAAGGAATGGTCATTATTCCCCTCGCACATGGTACTTTCCACACTTTTGTGTGAACATCTTCAATTTTTATTAATTGTTTTTCTGAGCTGGTACTATTGGCGATATTTATATTGAAGAGACTCGAATCTGGATTGTCGTATAATTTATCAATTGCGAAATACTTAATTCCAATGACACAAATGTTTCCATTTTTAAACCTTATAATATTTTCTATTATTAAAAAATGTCCATCCTCCAATAAAACGCAAGCATCTTTTGAATCATTGCAGTTAAATGTAAAAGCTTCGTTTTTTAATATTTTAAATTGTTCAACATTAGAAGATGTTTCCCTGGTGAGTGGTCCATCGCGATGCTGTTGTTCAAGTTTTATTCTTGATATATTAGACGATAAATCGGTTGTTACTCTTTCCTCGTCGGCCTTTTCCTTTTCACCAAATCTTCTTGATAGTTGTTGCAGTGGTTTTTCTCCTTTTCGGATCATGTTTTTAATTGACATCATAAAATTTTCATACTTAAACGCACTGAATTTATCCAACGAACCGAACCGTTTTACATCTTTACAAATGTGTAATAAGTTGTGAACATTTTGACTTACATATCTCTTGCCATAAATACTTGGAAATTCTTTAACGAATTGGGTCAAGAGATCATGCGCATAATCAATATTGTTAGCATCACGAATATGATTATCGTTAACCAATATTGTAACTGCACTGTGAAACAATATAAAATGTGCATATACATCAGATTTCAGGATATTTTTTAGAACAATTGGACCCGTGTAAAGGAGAAAGGTCCTAAATTCAGTGGCCTTCCAATGTACGTAGTCAAAAAGTCCCCTTGGACGCCTTGCAAACTCCACTGGACAGCTGTGACGTAATGTCAATAACTTTTTTGAAATACTGTTTACTTGATTCGTTGATATCTTCACTGTTGTAGGCCCTTTTATCCAGAGAGTTATTAAACGTTTCATGACACCGAGAAGAATCAGATGCATATAGTCCAAGGGGACAGAAGATATAAACCCGAATCCAGGAAGGTCAGCGAATATTGGATGAACATCTGAATCTATTTCGTCATCATCAGTCTTTAATTTAAAAGGACCAATTCCTGGAAAACAGGTGTTACCAGACTTTTTCCCTTTCCCCTTTTTATTTTCCTGTCGTTTACGCTCATGTAGAACATAGACCCCTTCTATATTGCACTTTGTACAACTGTCATATCCGGTGTGGCCCTTTAAATATAAAATAAAAGCTTTCGCTGGAGTATCACAGCTTAAATATTCAATCGATACACGAACATTTTCCTCTTTCAAACCATCATTTATCACCTTCGTAGCCTCATCTATGAAATGCTTTAGGAATTCATTTGCATCATTTGGTTTTCCCCTACCAAAAAACGCTCCAACAGGATAAACTTGTTTAGAATTCAATTCAGAACATAAAATAAGCCACAGTCCTTCATTAGTAGATTTAAAAATGGGCAAACCGTCAACATTTATACCTAATCTAACATGATTCAAAGTTATTCCTTTTCTTTTATACTCTCTAAGAATCGATCGCACGGCTCTTTCCAATCCAAAGTGAAGATATTCACCACCACCAAATTGAGATGTTTCCGTATTTCTTTCAGTTTTTAATAAAGTTCTGGCGTCCATTGGTAAGTATGAATGTTGAGTATAGTTTCTTAAGATCAACAATAATGCAGTCAGAGCTACTAACGTGATTTTGTACATCAGTGCCCAATCGCGTAACATACTTATTAAACTCGGTTTTTCTTTATTTCCATCGTCGATTTCTGCATTTTCCGATGCAGTTGATATATTGTCAAAAATATTCTCGTCTGAAACTTCGTCGTTTGATAAATCATTCTGATTTTCAAAATCAGTTAAATCTACTGAAGATGAGTCAGAGCTGTCATAAAAATTAAAAAATTGCTTATTGTCTTGAAAACTATTTTTGTCGAATTGAAAAGAAGGTTGCTCAATTTCATCTGAGTCGTTAATATTAAAAACACCGGTTACATTCTTATTTTTAGAATTTATTTTGTTAGATGTTATGAAAGAAAATTGCGCATCCTCGTCAGATTCACAGGAACTGTAAGCATCCGTGATACATTTATGTAATGTATTATCAATCAGTGATGCAGATGGTGTTTTCTTATTACCTACATCTCCAACACTTGATGAAATGGGGTTTGTAGGAATAGTTGGCGGCCTATTTGAATGATTAATTTCTTCTTGCAAGTTTCGCAGGAATTGGTAATCACTTTTGCTTTTATTATCAATAATACGTTTAAATTGCCTCTCCGAGTAACCGCAAAATGTTGATTTTCGACGTTTACTGATCTGAGAATGAGTAACTGGAAAAAAATTTCAGTTCCAATAATTATTGTCGTAGAAAGTGGTCGGAACAAAATAAGAATGCAAACAATACAATTATAAATAGAAAGTAACACATAAATTACTTTATTCACATTTTTGCGGTTTACAATAAATTTGGAGAACTTTTATAAAATCTTTTATAGTCATAAATTTCAATTTATTAATTTTCCTGACAATTTACTGACATTCAAATTATTTTCCTTGACAAAATTCTTTGAACAAAGAATAATGGAAATTTTGGGAAAATTAGTAAAATTTATGAATTTTAATAATTTCTAAAAATTTAAGTTATGACCCTTCCTAATTTTAATTACTTTATAAATTTTCAAATCATTTTATTTACAACTCAATTTTACAAAATTTTGATTATTAGTAAATTTACCAATATTCAATATATTAGAAACAAAAACTTCAAATAATTTTTTAAAAAATCCAATTGAAGCATTTAATGCAATAAGAGCGTTTACCTATAACAAAAAACGGCGAACAAAGGTTTTTGAAGTTGAAGCTTTCAAACTTTAATAGTTAAAAAACTATACATGCAAATTAAATTACTGTTTTTTTCTTTACTTAATCCACTACTAAACAGGGTGTCTAACGGTCAGGGAAGTCAGGGAAAAGTCAGGGAATTTCTTTGGTCATGGAAAAGTCAGGAAAATTTCTAAAAATGTATACAAAAATTAAAATTTTTTGTAAATAAAAATTTTTTTTAATCTAACAAAAATTAGAAGATTTTTATTACCGTTTTTTTCTATCATTAGATATTAATTTATTGTTAAATATGTCAGTTATCATATTTTTGTCTCAAGAAAGCAAAAATAAAATTAGTAAAAGGTCAGGGAAAAAGTCAGGGAAAAGTCATGGAAAAGTCAGGGAATTTATTTCTCAATCCTTGTTAGACACCCTGCTAAATTATCAAACCCAAGTGTAATATTGAAGGAAAGTTGCAATTACCTATTAAATAATGTTCTTCAGAACCAATTTTTACGCCTTTTTTGCACCCCAACTACAAAATTATTCTCACTTAATGATATCAAAACGGGCGTTAAACGCTTAACGTTCTTGTTACACCTAATGCTTCAATTAAAATTTCTCAAAAAAATTAATTTTGCAAAATTGATAGTTAAAAATTTAAAAATTAAATTTTTAGCGATTTTAATTTGACACCTTTTTAAAATTCAATTATTTCTAAAAATTAATGGTACAATGCTTTTATAATTCCATTATTATCAAAAGTTTTATCTGAAATTCATTTGTAAATCAGTTTTTATTGGAAAATTCTACAAAAAATTCAATTATTTACAGAAGGAAATAACAAATTTATTGAATAATTAAATTTATTAATTTATAAACATTGTTTTTCATTAATATTATTTATTATTAGTTTATAAAATAATTAAATTAAAAAAAATTTTGTAAAATTTAAAATTGAGGGTTGCCACAGGTCTGGATTATAGGGAACATGATGAAAAAATCATGAAAAATTTTTAAGTACCTTTTTTTTAAAAAATTAAAAAAAGAATTTTTTTTATTTTTAACCCCTTCGCTGTTTGGAAAAATATTTATTTTAGTGACCCAAAAAATGTCCATTAAAATCTTTTAAATTGTTATATTACTTAAAAATAATAAACAATTATTTGTTTATTACTTTTTCTAGTATCATTGATACCTATAGATGTGAATAATAATATAAAAGAATTTATTTTATAATTTAAATAACAAATTTCTTTTTTTTGCTAAAACATTCACGACCCAACGTTGAGTTGTTAACAGTCTGGGCCATCTTTTTTCACGACTCAATGTTGGGTCGTTAAGTAACAGGCAACGGGTTAAGAATATGGTAATTAAAAGTTTATTTTCCTATAAATGTGCGATATTTCCCCTGCAATTTCCCCTGCAAAGTAAAACTAAAATTCAAAAGGAAAATTATGTTAAAAAGTAAAATTTAAATTAAAAAATATACAAATTCCCAAAATAATAAAAAATTGAAATGCAATATTTTAAACAAGAAATTTAATTAGACATTAGAAATCAATTTATAAAAGGATTAAATATTTAAAATGAAAACAAAAATTCCATTACAAAATTAGAATTGAATTTAGTTTCTTTAATGTTTAAGAAAGAAATTTTATTAGAAAATTAAAATTTAATTTTCAAACGAATTGATTTTTTTAAATTTAAAATAAATTCAATTGGAAAATTAGAATTTGATTTAGAAAAAATTTAATTTGGTAATTGAAACTAATTTAATAGAAAAATTCTGTAAAAAAGTAAAATTTTAAATGAAAAAAACAAAGTTTAAAAAATGAAATTCTATTTTAACCCTCCGTCACACACCTAGGGAGGGATTGCCTCCTCGGTTTCAGTATTTTTTAAATAACTTTTGTTTTTCTCATTGCAAAATAAAATCAGTTTCTATACCTTTCGGAGGTAATAGAGGTAACGGAGGGATAAAAAAGCAATTGAATTAAAAAGTAAGGATCAATATAAAAAAAAATTGAATTTAGAAATGAATTAAATTTTTAAAAAAGAAATTTAATTTAAAAATTACAATTTCATTTAATTTAATTTAGAAAATACCTTTTGGCTGTTCACTATTTCGAGAATCATTCGGATGAGAAGACTGAGGCTTGATGCATTCTTCATTTATTGTATCAATCCGTGGATAGTCTAGAATAGCAACATTAATTTGTTTTATATATAGGGAAAACAGAAACTTAAATGAATTCTAACCTCAACTCTAACCCTTTTTTTTTAATTAAAAAAAATCAATGGCAAAATTAGAATTCAATTTAGAAAAAAAAATAAATTTGGAAATTAAAACTGGAATTTAAAAGAAAAATTCTATTAAAAAGCAAAATTTAAAATAGAAAACAAATTCCAAAAGAAAAAAAAATTGAAATTTAATTATAAAAATGAAATTCAATTAAAAATTGGAAATCAATTTAGAAAAGAATTAAATGTTTGACATTCAAACAAAAATTCCATTGCAAAATTAGAATTTAGAAAAGAATTTAATTTTTTTAATGCTTAAAAAAGAAATTCTATTGAAAAATTAACATTTATTTTTTAAACGAATTTAGTGTTTTTCAATTTAGAAAACATTCAATGGCAAAATTAGAATTCAATTAAGAAAAAAATTAAATTTGGAAATTAAAACTAAAATTCAAAAGGAAAATTATGTTAAAAAGTAAAATTTAAATTAAAAAATATACAAATTCCCAAAATAATAAAAAATTGGAATGCAATATTTTAAACAAGAAATTTAATTAGACATTAGAAATCAATTTATAAAAGGATTAAATATTTAAAATGAAAACAAAAATTCCATTACAAAATTAGAATTAAATTTTGTTTCTTTAATGTTTAAGAAAGAAATTTTATTAGAAAATTAAAATTTAATTTTCAAACGAATTGATTTTTTTTAATTTAAAATAAATTCAATTGGAAAATTAGAATTAGATTTAGAAATATTTAATTTGGTAATTAAAACTAATTTAAAAGAAAAAATTCTGTAAAGAAGTAAAATTTTAAATGAAAATAACAAAGTCGAAAAAAATGAAATTCTATTTTAAGAAAGCAATTGAATTAAAAAGTAAAAATCAATATAGAAAAAAATTGAATTTAGAAATGAATTAAATTTTTAAAAAAGAAATTTAATTTAAAAATTACAATTTCATTTAATTTAATTTAGAAAATACCTTTTGGATGTTCACTATTTCGAGAATCATTCGGATGAGAAGACTGAGGCTTGATGCATTCTTCATCCATTGTATCAATCCGTGGATAGTCTACAATAGCAACATTAAATTGTTTTATATATAGAGAAAACAGAAACTTGAATGAATTCTAACCTCAACTCTAAGCACGTTTTTTTTAATTAAAAAAATAAATGGCAAAATTAGAATTCAATTTAGAAAAAAAATAAATTTGGAAATTAAAACTAGAATTTAAAAGAAAAATTCTATTAAAAAGCAAAATTTAAAATAGAAAACAAATTCCAAAAGAAAAAAAAATTGAAATTTAATTTTATAAATGAAATTCAATTAAAAATTGGAAATCAATTTAGAAAAGAATTAAATGTTTGAAATTCAAACAAAAATTCCATTACAAAATTAGAATTTAGAAAAGAATTTAATTTCATTTTTTTAATTATAATAATATAATAAAAACGTGCATAGAGTAGAGGTTAGAATTATTTCACTTTTTTGTTTTCAGTTTTTTAAATTAAAAAACTCACTTTTTAACGCACTTATAATACAACTGTAGTTGTAAAGAACTTAGTAATTTCAATAAAATATTTGTAAGTATTAAAAAATAAATTAAGGAAAAAACCTTCTTACCTTCTTAAGTAGCGTCGATCACGTTTTAAATATGGTATTTCAGTTGATTTCTATTCTATGTCTTAGTCGATGATGCACACACGCTTACAGTGTAATTTACAAACATGGATTTCCTATGTAGATTCGGTTCCAAAAATATACCACTGAATCAACCAATCACAGTATTACCAAAACAATTACTATTCGTGGAAGGATAGCACTTTTTTGACAGGAAGTCCAATTCCAACCAATGGTTTTTTTATATTTAAATGACTTTCTCGCGGGCAATATCGCGAGAATTTGCGGCGTCTGTCTACAGCAGGCGACCTAACTCCTAAGTATCAACATTACTTATACGTGGTTTTAAAAGCGTGCTTCGCAGAAAAGATTGTGTGTTTCCAGGGTTTCCAGTTTACCTTTAATTTTAATCCAAGAAAATCAACTCAATCGGGCATAAAGGTAAGGTGTTTTATTTTATTTTCAATGTATTTATTAGTGTAGTGCGGAAAAATTGTTATATTGATTTATAATTGTGGAATAGAACTTTAAAACGGTTAAAACCATTTTTATAACCTCAAATTGCACGTTGCGTTAAGAACGTTTTCAATTCCATTTTGCGAAAAAAATGTATATTTATATAAATATTCGAAAATTATATACAATTAAATTTTGATATATGATATAACATGAGAATAATAATTTATCTTAATTAAATGAGATTAACCTTTGAAGTGATATGCCGGTCTGACAGATGAGACCGCTACAAAAATTTTCTTTGCTTGTAATTTTTATCAAAGTAAGGTACGAACTTTAGCTTTTCAGTATTAATTTTTTTTTAAATTTGGGTGTGATTAATTTTTATTATTTATTTATAACTAACAATACAAAGAAAATTTTCTCAAAAGACTTGACGTGGGCCGAATCATAGTTTTCGTTCTTTTAATTTTTAAATTAAATTGTTTATAAAAAAAATTTGTTTTTTAAATTACTTAAAAGTTAAAGAAAAACCAAAATTTTCTTTCTTTGACAACTTTTTTCTAAACTCAATACTTTCAAAGTTATAAACTATAACTCGGCCCATCTCAGATCTTTGGAGAAAATTTTCTGTATATTGTCTACATATTTATTTCTGTATATTTTTCTATATATTGTTGTTATTACATTAACTTCTATTTTAATTCTTTTATAAGCTGCAACTATGAGCGACCAGATTTTCGCCGTTGTCGAATTCGAAGACGGGGTTGCAATTATCCGAAGTTCTTGGGCTACTTTCGATGAAAATGGCAAAATTGTATCGAGTTTGTACCCTCCCCACAAAAGTGAAAAGGAACTAAAGAAATATTTACAGGATCCAAATTGTAAGAAAGACATCAGATGGGGTAGTGACACAAAAGGAACACCTTACACTGTCCTCAAGCATGTTCGCAACACAGGTGATTAAAATTTGTATTTAAAAATATTGAACCTTTAAAATATTTATAAAAATTTCTTATTTAAAAATTGTTTAAGAATTCATTTATTATTATTATTTACATCTTTTAATTTAATTTTAAATTTTGAGAAAATTCTTGTCAACTGTCGTTTACATTAAACAACTTCAAATCACTATTATTTTAATATAAAATTTAAATTTTTTCCTTAATTCAAAAAATAATTAAAATCTTCTTAAAAAATTGGATTTACGGAAAACTTATTAAAATAATTAAAAATAAGTAAGATATTATTACAAACATTTATCAATAAATAATTTTTAAGACTTTTTAATTGAAAAATTATTGTAAATAATTGAATTCTCATAGAATTTTGTAAAATTATCTAAAATCACTAAATTGACAACAAATTTAATAAAAAAAATTTCAATAAATTAATTTTTAGTTTTAAATAAGTAGAAGTAATTTTTGTACTTTATTAAAAAAATTTCGATTATAATTGTTTAAAAGTAAAATTAAAAACATCTGACTTTAGTATAAATAACATTAAAAAAAATTTACTTTACAGCTACATTAGAAGATGCCGCAAAGAAACGTGATTTTTATTTAGATGGTATTTCAGACATCGAAACGGATGATAATCTGAATATGGAAATTTTAAAAAGCTCGAGACATTCTCGAAACGAAAAAAGAATTGATAGTGATTTTACGGACGGAGAGCATGGTTCAAATGGGACGACGACAAACAAAACATTCACTTCTCAATTAAAAAAACTGGACATAAATTCTTTACAGTACCGTAAGCATTATTAAATTTTGAGTTAATTTATTTATGTTAAAAAAATTTACAAATGAATAACTTAATTATCATGAACTATAATTTATTTCATTTTAGAAGCAAGAAATAATGTGTCCCCTGTCAAGAGAGCAAATGTTTCAGGTGATAAATCTGTAGTAGAAGTAGCTGAAAAAATTTTGCTAGAGGATGAAATGGCTGCTACAGAAAGTCATGCACATACTTCTAAAGAAACGGAATCAAATGGTGAGTTTTTTAACGTATATTTATATTGTTTCCTTTAATAATTAATTAAATGAAGCCCGATAATCGAATCTAGTAAAATACTAACATTTAAATAGCAGAAATAGTTTTTTGTTTTCTAGTTCCAAAATAGTATAAAAATTAGTAAAATTCGCCTGGAATCAGATTTATATTCGCGAGTTTTTGACCTCGTTGATTCCGAATTTGGCATTATATTTTTAATAAATTTTCATAAATGTAGAAAAACTTTATAATATTACGTTTGCTTTTCCACTTTTGGTTTTATTGTAATGTCTTTATAGGCAAGCGTCCAGAAGGACCACCGACGCAGGACCAAGGTCAAGGCCGCGATCAAATTGATCCACAGGAGGTTCTAACAGGAGATTTACAGCGTGGTGAGTTTGTTTTTTATTGAATTCTAATTTGTAAAACAAACTCATGAATTATAATTTAAACAATAATCAATTGCTTATAATAATTTAAATTAACTTCTTTAAAAATTCAATCACTTTAAACATTTTCATGAGTCTGAATTACTAAAAATTGTTTTACCGTTTTTCTATAACAATTGATTTTTAAAGATTAAAATGTATTTTATGACTTATATTTGATTCAATAAAATTTTACATGCAGTAAATTTCATATCTAATTTTAAAATTCAAATTCAATCAAGAAATACTATCACTATTCATTTAATTAATTTATTTTATAAAATTTTATTGTAAAAATTTGTTATTTTAGAAGATGCGAATGCAGGTAGGGGGAAGAAAAGAAAAAGTTCCAGATTTTCTGATGATCCACAGGAAGTGGCTAGTTGGAACAGTAAGATTTTACCACAATAATTTAATTATTTTCCCAAATAATAAAATTTTTCACGAGAATTAGATTATTAAAAAAGAATAAAATAAAATTCTTCGCAAGAATTCAATTATTTTTGTAAATAATAAAATTAATTTTAGAAATTCAATTATTTTTTAAAAAATGGATAAATTTTTTATAATTCTTTATAAGAATTAGAATCTAAGAAACAACCAATTTTTCAATATATTATTTATTTTTGTATTTAAAAATAGTAGAAATTGAGTTAAAGTTTTTAAAAAGAATTGAAATAAAAACGAATTTCTGTTGAAATTCTAAATAATTTTATTAAATAATGTTATTGGTTTACTTTTAGAAATAATTTTTTTTAATATTTATTTTATGATAATTTTTAATGATAAAAATTAAGAAAGTAATTGAATTTTTGAAAAATTTAGAATTAAAGTTCTCAGCAGGATTAGAATGAACATAAATATTTTTGATTAAAATCAAGAAACAGTCAGGGAAATATTGACAAGCAGAAAAAATGGCACTATTCTATGTAAAAATCTACTACCGGGGAGTGTTAAGATTTTAAAAATAGGGCTACATAGTTTGTGAACGACCGGTAACCTAAAAGGGCACAAAACTATCCTATCGTAACATTTATTTTCTCTTTACCCTTATATAAAAACAAATGTCTTGATCACTGTTTAGTGTCGCCCGAAGATGTTTGTCTGCACAAAAAAGTCAACACTATAGGAGTAGTATGTGAATATATCGTGTCACGAATAGACTCAATGCAGCCTGCTAAAGAATTAGATGATTCCGATACAGAGGACCATTTATCAAACTTTCCTATAAACACGCAGGCAGATTATGACGAGATGAAAATAAAATTGGACGACAAAGATTACTATAAAAGTGTAGTGAGTAGTTTTAACTTTTTCATTTTTATTAACCTTTGTTTTTTAAATAAAATGTTTATAACAGTGGAGTTTTAATTTTATAGATATAACGAAATGTACTCTTTTCAGGTTAAATCAATTACAGGTTTGGGAAAGTTAAGAACCCTCTCCATGACTGTCAAATCCATTATGAATGCACTAATAAACCCAACAACTGGCACAATATTTACTTTCCAGGGAAGAGGGGGCAAGAAAATTGCGTTTCAGGGTTCTGTTTTTCATCGTCTAGTAGTGCGTAAGTAATTCATTCTTTAATTTTCAGGGTGGCCTCAAGTCAGGGAACAACTGGAAATCAGGGAAAAGTCAGGGAATTTTGATTGAAAAACACCACAAATTACAAAATGTTGTTACTTAAATGTCAATTCAGTTTTTATTTAGACGTTTTTGTAATATAGCTCATTATAATGGTGTCCTTGCATTTTTTATAAGTTTGAACCTTCTTACGGACATTTTAATGTAGAATATAAAATAAATCAAAAATTTGTTATTCAGAGAAAATAAAAAATTAGTCAGAGAAAAATTAGGGCAAAGTCAGGGAATTTTGAAAATAAAATTTTGCGGCCACTCTGATTTTATTTTAACGCTCTTCTCTAAAATTTTGCTTTTTCACAAATGAGTTAAATATAATTTTAATAACTCACTTCCAGAGGCATCAAGAAAACTATATAAAAATGAAACCCAAGCCAACATTGATTCATGGATTGAAGACTGGCTGGTCCATTGTAACGACAAAATTAAGCGGTTAAAGTACGTATATTTATCTTATGGTTATTGTTTTAAATTTCGATTTAACATTAATAATATATTTGTTTTTTAGGAAGAAGGAAGAAAAAAGACTAGAGAAAGAGGCAGCTCAGAATTTTTCTTTCTCTGATTTAGATGGGGAAAATTCAGAATAATGGCTTCGGAATAGATTAAATCAATACGAACCATGATTTTGTCATGCATTATTTGTACCATGCAAGCGCAGCATGTTGGTCATTTTTTAAATATGCACAGGTAATTTTTTAAACATAATTAAATTTAAATTAAGTTTTTTGAACGAATTAAACCTTTTTTAAAATAACTTTTCTCCATTAAAGAAATTAAAATTTGCATTTTTCACATTTTTAAATTAAATATTTAATAACAAAAATTATTCAAAAAGCTATTTTTATTGCCAATGAATGAATCTCTAATGTTTAAAAATGATGGCCATTGGTAAAAAAAAGTCAGGAAAATTTTGTTTACTTTTTTAATTGGCCATGTTTTAAAAAATATTAATTTTTAATTAACATTTCTACATAAATTGTTTCAGGGGCCAACGCTGCATCATTTTAAAACCATAATTTATATTGATAAAATATAATTGATATTTCATTTAACATTTTTAAAACAAGCACTTATTGAAAAAAAAAATTTAATTTTAAACACTTGTCAGTTTTAAAACATGTTTATCAAAAACTTTTTGAAGAATGTAACTCGTTGTAAACTATTATAGTTTGGAATAAAATATTTTTTGTAATTATGATAAATTATTCAAAATTTCGATAACAAATTTTTCTTTTAAAATTAAAAATATTTTACGAAATAAATAAAAAACAATGGACATAAAGAAAATATGTTAATAAAAATCAATTAGAATATGGCAATGGAAATAACGTCAGAGCAACGTTATTTTTGAGGTGAATGGAGAAAATACGCCTTTTACCCACAACTTGCTGTTATCTCTACCGGTAAATGAAACCAGAATATTCTATAATACCTTTTCTTAATAAACGTATGAAAACTAACTTAAAACCTTTGATTCTGTTTTGTGTTTCAGACACGGCGAGTATGATTATTTACGATTCAAGAAGAGGTAAAACTATTTTTTACATTGAAGATAATTATGTTTTATTGATATTTATTCTCTAAATTTTTTCTCGTAGTCCAGATTATTTGTAAAATTCTTAACGTTATGTTACTTGTCAATCTCCTAAAATTTTAATTTTTTAACAATTTTTTGTCAAAGTTACGGTACAACAGTTTATTCTTAAAAAGCAGCATAATTTTCATTATTTAAAGAATTATATTTTATCATTATTTATGTAGAGTAATATTAATGTTTTTATTCTTATCATTTAAAACTAATTTTATATACACTTAACAATAGTTATAATATGTATATGACAATACAGGTTTCTGCAGAAACATTCTTTAAAAAATTATGCAGAAAATATGTAGTTTTAAATATTTGACTTTAAAAATAAAGTGTCCTGACGCGTGAAAAGGACCACACGCCTAAAAATATTGATTTTCAGTTATTAATCAATTTTGTCGATTGAAATAATTTAGATAAAATGTTATAAATTACTTAAAATTAATTTTTATGGAGGTAAAGTTCCTTTCACTGTGTCAGGATACAGATAATTGAATAGAAGTAAATTTAATTAAGTTTTTCGATAAATAAAATTAAGAAATAATATAATATAACTTGTTTTTCAGCGTACGATCAAGTGGAAAACGGAAAAAGAAGAAAAAAGGGAAGACTAAGAGCAACGGAATAAATAATTTTAATAATAATATATGAAATTCGAAATTCTGTGAATTATAATTTAACCTTTGAATTATCAATAAATATACATATACCTATGAAATTCTACTTTATTTATCTGATTATATTAATTTTTTTGTAATTTACTTAATTTTTTAAAAAATTCCACATTTACGCTCTTTTTTAAATTTACAGAATATTTAATTATTATATTTAACGAATTTCGCTTTTAAATTTCCTGAAATCTTTCGAAATAATTTGCAATAATATTTGCGATTAATATCTCACGAAAATTGATATGCAATATTCAGTCAATGTCTGCGATAAACCTTGTATATATGTGGACATTTGAACATCCACACAAACTTGTATGAATCTCGCTACTGAAGTTTCCGAACCTCTCCGCGCAAGGTTCAATCGAGGTTCAGGGAATTTTCGGTGCTGTGTGGGGACTCTTTGGTAAAAAATCTAAAAATATCGAAAATTATCAAAAATTCAAAAATCCGAATTTCTTAAAATTCAACATTTTTTCCTCTCTTTTATGGGATTTAGCTTCATTATTTTTGGGCTCTTGGAAAATACTTTACTTATTTAATAGTCTCGACTCTTTGGTAAAAAATCTAAAATTATAGAAAATTATCAAAAATCCGAAAAATCGAATTTTTTAAAATTCAATATTTTTTCTTCTCTTTTATGCCATTTAGCTTTGTTATTATTTGAATTTCTATTCAAGAGAAAAAATGGAAAACAGAAAAAATTTAGAAACTTTTAAAAGTTCCAGGCCTTTTCCATTATTTCCCTGATTTCCAGAAGCCTTTTAAAAATTCCATACCATTTCCATGATTTCCAGATTCTGTACCCAGATAACAATCGTGCGTCGCATTTAAACGCATGTTTCTTGCACTAACTGCGACTTACCAGATGAGTCGGTTCATATACGCATCTTACTATCGTCTGTGACGCTGGTAATAATGCGAGTGTTGTGAACTGCATTTCGTAAGCGCCTGTGATACAAAATGATAAGCATGTTCCGTTCACAAGTGCGACTCGCTAGAAGAGTCAATCCATACGCATTTTACCATCCACAGTGCGAATGCTGTGAATGCGTGTGCAGTGAACTGCACTTAATACGCACGCAATTAATGATGCGCAACCACCCGTATCGGCAATCACACATTTTATAATGGCGACAGCATTGTTTGTGGTGTGTTATCAAAATAAGTTTTTATTGTGATTTCATTTTTTATTGTTTTTTATTGCGATATTATTGTGAGGAATTATTGTGGATTTAATTTTTAGTAAAAAAAAAAATTCCAAAATTGTACTGAAATATTAAATTAAAATCGTTTTTATAAATAACATTTTAATTTAAAAAAAATTACTAATGTCAATAATCTTTTCTTTTTATTTAATTCAAATAAGGCTGAAGTATAAATATAATTTATTCGCATTATACCGTCACGCATGTGCCCATCACAATATGCGACAGTTATGGATCGCATATGATGACGCATCTGAGTGGTCCAGTGAACGCGCATAGTGCGGATAAATCGGCACGCGTGCAGATGATATTAGTAGCACACAACGCGCATTTTGTTATCTGGGTAGGAACCCTGTTATTGTTTACTATTATATTTATTATTTTTTATTTATTTATTATTGTTATTATATCTATTATTATTTATTATTATACTTACTTTTTAAAAACATTATTATGGAAAATTATTAAAACAATAAAAGGAAAATTTTTTATGAAAAAATTATTAAACAAATAAAATTTCTAAACAAAAAAGAGTAAATAATAAAAAATTATGAAATGTATAATTTTTTTAGAAATAAACTATAGTTGATAAATAATAAAAAAAAAATTATCTATTAAAATTTATTTTTTCTGAATGTGTCATATTATTATTATTCCTATTAATTTTCAAATTGTCTATAAAAAAAATTAATCTTGGTATTTGAAATAATTTTGTTTAAAAAAATTTTTATAACTAATATAATTTAAAAAATTATACATTTCATAATTTTTTATTATTTACTTTTTTTTGTTTAGTAATTTTATTTGTTTAATAATTTTTTCATAAAAAATTTCCCTTTATTGTTTTAATAATTTTCCATAATAATATTTTTAAAAAGTAAGTATAATAATAAATAATAATAGATATAATAACAATAATAAATAAATAAACAAATAATAAATATAATAGTAAACAATAAGAGTAATTGACATTTAATATTTTTGTTCCTCACGTTCATTCCTACTGTACCACGCAAACGGAGCAACCTGTTATGGTCGGCCATGTCCAACTTCTCCCTACATATAGAGCTATCAGTTTGATATGTTTCGTAAAACGCGGATTGATATTTACGCCCATAGAAACATCTAATCGTCATAAGAAAATTTGTTTTATATTCTCTATTAAATATTATTTTTCCCTAAATCGCCCTTTTTTTCATTTTCTGTCTGAATTTTTAAAAATTAATTATCAAAGAAAAAAATTACACCAAAAGAGGGGAAGTTTTCGACTTTGATAATTAATTTTGAAAAATTCAGACAGAAAATGAAAAAAAGGGCGATTTAAGGAAAAATAATATTTAATAGAGAATATAATTCAAACTTACTTATGACGATTAGATGTTTCTAGGAGCGTAAATATAAATCCGCGTTTTACAAAACAAAGCAACAGCTCGATGTAGGCCTTTGCCGACCATAACAGGTTGCACCATTTTCGTGTTGAAAGTATTTACGCTATGGTAATGTAGGGACGTAGATGATCAACAAAAATAATAAGTCATTACTTTTATTATTTAATATTATATAAATAATTATATTTATTTGTTTATTTATCTATTATTATTTATTATTATTCTTACTTTTTAGAAATATTATAATGGAAAAGTATAAAACAAAGTAATGTAAATTTTTTATGAAAATATTATTAAACATAATTTTTGTCATAAAATTGGATCTTTTTTATGAAAAAAGTCCTTTTTCTGAAACACGGAGGTACTCAGAATTTATTTCCAATTATGAAAACCATTTTTGTCTTGAGAAAACGACGTTGATGTTTGCAATTTTTTTCTAACAATTTTTGAAGTAGATTATTAAATTTTCGTCTTTTTTCAATACATTGCAGCTTTTTTTTTATTAAAAAAAGGCATTTTTTGACATTTATTTTTCTAAATAATTTCATATCATAATTTTTATTGATGAAAAATAGAAATACAGAAAAATTAAGATTAAATTTTGATCAGAAATTAAATAAGTAAACAAATAATTTTCCATATAGAAAAATTGAATAACAATGTTATTTTTAGAATTTTCAGTTTAAAAACAAAGATTTTTTTCAAAACAATACTTCTATAGGTAATTATGAAAATCATCGATTTCATTTGGAATTCTTTTCATGGATTTAAAAACATATTTTCTACCAAATTACGCGTGTGTTTCGAAATCCACCAATTTTTAAGAAAAATGATAATTGAAAAAGGGTCAAAATATTTTCTGTCCGCTTTTATTTTATGACCGTTGAATTCCTTATAAAAAATTACTTTAAAACTAATTTTGTGGAATATTTAAATTAGATTTTTCATATACTTAAAAATATCAATAATAAAAATAACAATAAAAAATTTTTAAAATTATACATTTCATAATTTTTTATTATTTACTTTTTTTTTGTTTAGAAATTTTATTTGTTTAATAATTTTTTCATAAAAAATTTTCCTTTATTGTTTTAATACTTTTCCATAATAATATTTTAAAAAAGTAAGTAAAATAATAAATAATAATAGATATAATAACAATAATAAATAAATAAACAAATAATAAATGTAATAGTAAACAATGAGAGTATAATTGACATTTAATATTTTTGTTCCTCACGTTCATTTCTACTGTACTACGCAAACGGTGCAACCTGATATAGTCGGCCGTGGCTAACCTCCCATATTGAGCTGTCAGTTTGCTATGTTTTGGAAAACGCGGATTGATATTCACGCCCATAGAAACATCTAATCGTCATAAGAAAACTTGTTGAATATTCTCTATTAAATATTATTTTTCCCTAAATCGCCCTTTTTTTCATTTTCAATCTGGATTTTTTTTAATTAATTATCAAAGTCAAAAAATTTCACCAAGATGGACGAAAAAAGGGGAAAAGAGTGGAAGTTGAGGAGAAATCGCTCGCTACGCCTATGTGTACTTTTAAATATTTCCCACCGTGCAGCGTCCTTAATATAAACGAAAAATGTTCAATGAAGGCCAACGCAGAATAGATCTGTAACCGGAACCGCAATCGTAAGCGTAACCGTAAGAATGAGTTAAAGAAGGATAGGTATATTGTTTATCCTTCTCTAACTCATTCTTCCGCTTACGGTTACGATTGCGGTTCCGGTTACAGATCTATTCTGCGTTGGCCTTTAGGGCTCAAAAGATGCGTCTGAAAAAAACTCTACAAAACTAAAGAAAAACTTTATGAATCGGACTGAAAATACTCTCATATTATGTCCCCCGGGGAGACCTACAATTTAAAAAAAATTGAGGCCTTTAGCTCTTTCTCGTTCTGAGATATTGAGGCAAATGTAATGTTTGTACACACACACATCGGGACAAATTTTTATAATCCGTTTTTTGGACATCGGAAATCAAAATACGTCGACATTTTTTTTTTATTTATTTAGAACATTTATACGGGCAGTGCCCATATTCGTACATAAAGTCTATGAGAAAGCAATAACAGAAATTATTTTAAATTTTTGCTGGTAAGTCATCTCATTTATACTCTCTTTACGTATATTTTTATATAAACTAAGTAAACAATATCATGTTAAATTTCGTGCAGTTTTTCCAATAATCTATTCTACCAAGTTTTGGGTACCTATGTCCCATGTAGGTAGAATAGTGGAATAGAGGCAGCGAATCGTGAAAGGTGTTAAATTGAGTTATAGCGGAAATATCGGTTATTATTGGCTATGCAACAGCTATAATGCTATTCTCCTTTTTTTGTTCACCCACATGGAACATAGGTACTTGCATTTCGGTAGAATAGTGGTACAGAATAAAATATAAATTTTACAACATTTTTCAAAATAAAGAAACATTAAAATATATTTATAATTTTAAAATAAAAATTAACAGTATATTAATATTAAAATATACAATTGAGGGCTCGGATTGAAGAACCGACGCTTGTAAACGCACAGAACATTACGAAGCGTCGCGTCGGTTCTTTGATCCAAGCCCTCAATTATCTTAATTTATATTAATATTGACTAATTCCCAGCAAAAGTTTAAAATAATTTCTGTTATTTTATTTTCACCATGAACCACAAATCATACAGTACGAAAACCTACCACGTCAGTCATATCCCATGAGTGGGAGTGAGACAGACTTATGCGATTCCCATACTTTCCTATGACTGACGGATAGCTTTTCTTCCTGTATAGATCATATTCAGCTCAATTCCTCTAAAAACAACTCATTGGTCGACAGTTTACTCCACTATTCCACTGTTCTACTAATCTACCTACATGGGACTGCACTCTGAGACAGAAAAAGATAGAGATAGTCTGTCTTTTTCTATCTCACGTAAAGGGCCACGGAAAAGCGGATCGACTGGGTAAGTGTGGAATCAGCATCTAGACGGTTGCGGGAACTTCCATATCCCGCATTCGTCTCTCTTGTGCTTAGGCATTACGGATGCCTATGCAGGCAAGCAGGCCGAGCTGTGACCGTGCCATAAGGCCTACGCAGAATAGAATCTTTAACCGGAACCGCAATCGTAACCGTAAGCGTAAGAATGAGTTAGAGAAGGATAAACAATATACCTATCCTTCCTTAACTTATTCTTACGCTTACGATTGCGGTTCCGGTTAAAGATTCTATTCTGCGTAGGCCGGTTTACGCTTTATGTTCTGATGGGATTGTATACCATAATTTTACAATATCATTCTGTAACATTTATTTTTTTTACATTACAGTATTATTAGTTTTGTAAATTAATTAAAATATCTTTTAATAATATTCTGCTTGACACAAAGTAAAAAACATTTTTTTACCCTTTCGTGTCCCCGAGAAACCCACAGATCGAATTTTGTTAAAACTTGTTACTCAAGGGTTTTCGGGGTCGCTGATTACAAATCTGAAGGCAAATTTTCAAAATTCAAAATGTCGGATCCAATATGGTGGCTAGTTTTTTAAAATTGCTCAAATTTACATCAAACTTGTTAAAGGCCAACGCAGAATAGAATCTTTAACCGGAACCGCAGTCGAAACCGTAAGCGTAAGAATGAGTTAAAGAAGGATAGGTATATTGTTTATCGGTTTCGGTAAAAGATTCTATTCTGCTTAGGCCTTAAGGCTAACACAGTTAATGAATACGGTTACGGAAACAGGGCATGAGAAAGAAAAGGACACAGACAGCTTCTGTCATTTTCTTTTGCATGCCCTGTTCCCGTATCCGTATTCATTTCTAAGGGTGGAGTCCCATGACAGCGTTTTGCGTTGCGTCGTAATGGGAGAGAAAAAGTCGCAAATATACGTTTGCTGCATTCTCTCTTATTACAACGCAACGCAAAACGCTGTCATGGGACTCCACCCTAACTCTTGAGAGGTGGACTAGTGTAAAAGTTACACTTAAGGCCAACGCAGAATAGATCTGTAACCGGAACCGCAATCGTAACCGTAAGCGTAAGAATGAGTTAGAGAAGGATAAACAATATACCTATCCTTCTTTAACTCATTCTTACGGTTACGCTTACGATTGCGGTTCCGGTTACAGATCTATTCTGCGTTGGCCTTTAGTGCAGGCAACGAAAACATACCTATATTATATCGGAAAAGAAAGTGTGAAAGCGATTTTTACTTTTTCGGTAAATTTTTTTTTTTACCGACCGTCGTATAAATAATGTACCTTAAAATAAAAAAAATTGATTTGATCTCCTTGTTGTTAGTGACATGTGATAGTACCTTAATACGTCTCTCGTTGAACGCGACACCTATCTTCTCTCTCTTTCTTATTCGCACTCTCTTATTTTGACGTTGCATAGGTAATCTATTAATGTAGAACGGTGGCTGTCATTCAAGAGTGAGTAGGTAGGATAGAATTTATGTCATTTTGGGAGGAGGTGACGTGACCGCCATTGTTTCGATTCTTTTCTTTTACATCTTGGAACGTGGCCTTAATAATTTACGTTTTTTAAGGAAGTTATAATCATTATCTTTAATTACAGAAAGAACTTTAAAGAAATCTTACGACCCCTTGAGATTGCTGCATTTTTGTAATAGTATGTCAACAATGAACCCAGAATAGTAAGTAAATATTGCTCTTTACTTTCAAATTCAATACATTTTTTTAAAATTGTCTATCTTATTTTTAAACAATAAAATTTTCATTACTGTCAGTTTGTTTTTCACGAAAAAGTAGGACCTAATAACAATATGTGCATTTAATGGCGTTACATGACGCAAAATGCAGACAAAAGCGCAATTGACTGCCATATAAAGTGATTGAAATTAGTAGATAGAATTTTTTGTTTTATTTTTTGATAAAATTAATGTTATTCTTCTCAGTTCAGTTCGTTTTAAAAAATTAAATGTAACGCCTATTTTTTACTTGAATTTCAATGTTTTTTTTCTTTAATAGATTCAATGAACTTTAATCATTGTCAATTTGCCACTTTCTGTTGTGTTTTCATGTGTATAACTTTTAGTGCAGATGCGAACTTAATGTCAAGTGACTGTTGACTCATCAAAAGATTAATAACGACTATTTCTTTTCTATCTTTTAATATTTTTGGTTTTAAAAGTCATAAATTTTATTTTATTCGATACTTTCGATTTTTCATTGTTTGTCTACAAAACTAAAAATTTACTTTTCACTCAAGTGTCAAAAAAAATAGGTATTTAATTTTTCTAAAAAAAGTTAATTTTCACAAATAAAAATTATTCTTTTTAACGAAATTTTTTTTAACTATTAGAGGAAAAAGGCCAAATTATCTTTATTGCTTATCGACAGTGGAAAAAAGTGCATATTATGTGAGAAAGTTCTTTTCGATTGAAAATACCTGTATAAAAATTCTGTGTATGTTCTTGCATAACATTCCGTTCAAGAACTTAATCAAGGTCGTAATTATGAATAGCACTAGTTTTAAAGAATAGCTTCCTATTCAAAGAAAATAAATAATCATTTTCCACTTATAATTAAAAGTTCTGCTTTGAACGAATAAGAGAAGAAAAAAAAAGATTTTTATTCTTTATCTGCTGGAGAATTTAAAATAAATATTTTCTTTTCTTTACGAGAAGATTTTTAATTTTTGCAAATGTAGTAGAAATAATGTAATTTTTTAAATAAAACTTTCTTAAATCTTAAAGATTTTACATTCTTAGTAATGAAGAAAATGATTCACTTAAAAAAATTCAATCACCAATCTTTGAAATATAGATAAATTTCTTTATTGCTCAATAGTTAACTATAGTTTATTTTTAAAAATAAATTTTCAATATAATGTTTAGTTTTCCAATAAATTGAATTTTATTTTTAAAATGAAATTAAATTAAAAAAATTTTATTCAACAGCATTTTTGTTAAAAAAATTCTTATTATATCCTTTATATCGGCTGAGTTTTTTTAACGTTGTTTTAAAAATATAATATACATCCAGGGTGTCAACGTTTAATGTAAATTTTTATTATTGTCCGCAATTATAACGTTTAAATTATAATATGTATGGCAAAAGATGCCCGCCAGGACAAGGTTATGCCAAAGTTTGTGCAACAAATTATGCCAAAGGTTGTGCAACATCTCTTTGTGGTTTTAATATTTAATAATTAATACCATTTTGTTTAAATTGTTTATTTAATAATTTACATATATACACTACCGTCAGAAATTGTCGGTACCCAAGTAGAAATGTAATACTAGCATAGTACTGATCTTGTACTGACTGCCAGTATTGCAGTACTGACTCCAGTACTAAGTCAGTACTGGGAAAACCCTGGCTGGTAACGCTGTCCAGTACTGATTTTTACCGGCGGTCAGTATAAGCTCCTTATTTAATTATTAAAGCATGGGGAGTAATTTATTGAATACTAATAATTATTATTAGTATTAATTATTATTAATTAATTATTAGAATTCCTTTTATTAAAATAAGTTTTAAAAAAATATTTTTCTTATTTTTTCATTATTTATTTAAATCTTATTTATTTAAATTAATGACTAAATTATTATTATTACTGGTTATTAATTATTTAAACTTATACTTTATGTAACACTGTTAAGAATTATACACAAAACACTTAAAACTAAGACGGAAAAATATCGCACGCACGGGGGACCGAACCCTAGACCTCGAGGACGCAAGTCGAATACACATACCGCATAGCCACGCAAGCTCGGGAGTTATCTCGCATAAACTTCCTTTTGAATTGTGGGACCGATATATACAGTGCTTTAATAATAAATCCACTGCATATTATATTTATTTCAAGAAAAATTATTATACATATATCTTTATATACATTTTATCAAGTCATTATGTAGTAATTAATAGATACATCATAATAATATGGTAAAAATTATTAATATAATTATTTATAAATTATTTATAATCTAATTATTTATTAAAATAATAATAAAAAAAAATTTATTTAAGAAAAATTTTTGTTAAATAAATAAATAAAAATATATATACAGCTTTAAAAAATAAAATTTTTTTTATTATTAATAATACGTAATAATTCTAAAAATAATTAATTAATAATAATTTATTATTATATTATTAAAATATATCTATTAGTTAATAATAAATTAATAAAATGTTTGATATTATTGTTGATGAATAATGTTTTTACAAATCTTTGCAAATATTTTAATTGTTAATAAATCAAACGATGTTTAATGTTTAATTACATTATAACAAATTTTGATTGTTTTTTTAACTCCTTCGCAGTACTGATTTAGTGTTAAGCCAGTTTTCTGCCAGTACTGATTTTAGAACTTTTCTAACTCCGACATAGTACTGATTCGGTTTTGGAGTCAGTATACTCCCAGTACTGATCGGGTTCCGAAAGTCAGTACCGACGGTCAGTACTGAGTCAGTACCATGTCGGTGTTTAACTCCGTCCTAACTCCGGACATTTCTACTTGGGTACGAACGACGGGCGAGCTAAGAAAAGTTGCTGCCGAAATTAAATTAACATATTTTATTATTAAAAAATCATAGAAACTTGGTTCTTGGATTGTTTGAAAGTCTATTAAATTCTGCGTCGATTGTAATAGAAATAAATATTATTTAATATTTTTGAGAAATTTTATCACCTAAGAGATTTTTAAAAAAATTGATTAAATTTTCTATTTTCGTGCAATATGTTTGTGTGGCTGCTCAGTCTAGAGAGAAAAAATTAAAATTCCTGCAACATAATCATTGAAGGCTCAGCTTTTATTTAAGCCTTTAAAACTTAAAATCCGTTCAATAGTTTTTGAAATATCTAAAAAAATGTCCAAACATGTTTTTCGGAAATTTAGGCGGTGATACACACTTATTGCACTCTCGCTGCTCACCTGGTTCGTTGCTGCAGGGCCGAACAAGCGGCATATAGAGTGGGTTCTTACTTTGAACCCTTCTCAATGTTTTTTTAACTTTAGATTTAATATTCATTGAAAATTTCATAATTATCAATGTTAATAAATTATTAAATATATAAATAAGTTATCATATTCAAAACCTTCTTGTTCAAATAGTAGTTTACTTTGGTAAAAAAAGTTTATTTTTTATGTTTTGTTTTACATACAATTTTACAGATTCATTTCTTCTAATTTTATTAACAATTTCTTCATATGAACATTATTTCTATTAATTAATGACTACATATTATAGCTCTTCAGCTTTTACATTGCTGTTTTTATTAAAATGGCAATTGAATAGACAATCACATTATACTTATTTATTTTAAAAAAATTGAATAATATATAAATAAATAATAAGAAATAGTAAATTAACCAAAATAATTTTGTATTTATTTCTTAACTCTTACTTGAATTTCTTTTAATTTACTATTGTATTTAACATTAAAAAATGGAGATGTAAGAACCTATACTATATGCCGTTTGTTCGGCCCTGCAGCAATGTGCAGCGAAAGTGCAATAAGTGTGTATCACCGCCTAAATTTTAAAAAAACATGCTTGGACATTTTTTTAGATATTTCAAAAACTGTTGAACGGATTTTAAGTTTTAAAGGCTTAAATAAAAGCTGAGCCTTCAATGATTATGTTGCAGGAGTTTTAATTTTTTCTCTCAATTTTTCTAGACTGTGCAGCCACACAAACATATTGCACAAAAGTAGAAAATTTGATCAATTGTTTTTTAAAATCTCTTAGGTGATAAAATTGTTCAAAAATATTAAATAATATTTATTTATATATCAATCGACGCAGAATTTAATAGGCTTTCAAACAATCCAAGAACCAAGTTTCTATCATTTTTCAATAATAAAATATGTTAATTTAATTTTGGCAGCAACTTTTCTTAGCTCGCTCGTCGTTCGTACCGACGGTAGTATATATATATATATATTTGAGAAATTTGAGAAATGTCTAAAATTTCTAGGTAAAACTCGAATTTCCTGGCTACTTTTAGGTATTTAAGACATATTTGAGCTTTCTATCACGTCGCGTTCTTTTTTATAGTGCATAGTTATAGTGTATAGTATAGTTCTTTTTTTATACTCGAATTTCCTGGCCACTTTTAGGTATTTCCCGATTTGCCTAGAAATTACCTAGAAATTTTAGGCATTTCTCAAATTGCCTAAGCATTTCGCGAAATACCTAGTCATTTCGCGAAATGCCCAAGTCGATTTAGGCAAAATGAAAAGTTGATCATTTGTAAGCTGCATACTAATGTAAACAGATTGTTTACAAAATTATTAGTCTATTACACTGTTCGACAAAATATTGCTACAAGAATACGTCTCAATTTTGAGACAAACGGGGTCAAAGTGTCAAAATATGCCATTTTTGGCACTTTTTGAAGCACTATAAAAAAGAACGCGACGTGATAGAAAGCTCAAATATGTCTTAAATAAGAGCTCGAACCCTCAACTTTAACATCCAAAAGCAAAAAACCATGTAGAAATAACTTAAAATTGTGGGGAACAACTTTTTATTAATTTACCCTATATGATCGCTAACTAAAATAATAGCTGATGGGCGCGCACGCGGTAAAAAGTTGTTCACCACAATTTTGAGTTATTTCTACATAGTTTTTTGTTTTTAGATGTTAAATTTGAGGATTCGAGCTCTCATTTAAGACA